ATGGAGGTGGAGACGGAAATGTAGTTGAGAAAGGATAGGAATTAGGGGTGAGAGAGAATGGGAGGGAATGCATCCATCTTTCATCTCTTTTGTTCTATGATTTGTTAAGCTGGGATTTCCATTGATCAGATACTATGTTTCTGGATCTTCCAAAATTCCCTATTTGGAGTTAAAATTTTGAAGCCATGTCAAAATGTTGCACTCTTTGCAAACATTCTTTAAGGGTTTTTTGCTGGGCCTCGGGTCACATTATCGAGCATAAAGCAGCAACTGCAATCAATAGATATCATTTTCTTGAAGGGTTATACTTGGTCTCTGACAACGCATCGGTCGATAGTATTTGTCAGAGCAGTATCACCGAGTTCATACCATCAGTTCTCAGCTGTATATCTCTGAAAATATCAGGGACCTGATCAGTATGTGGCACCACTTCTCTATACTTTACAAACCCTGATTGAATGTGGCTGCTGACACCTTTCTACAACCTTTCTTAACTTTTTTGTGATTTGAATATCACGAGTTCCAATATGGAATATGAGAACATTGCAAATAAGACAATAACCCTAAAATGTTGTTTCTTTTTGCTGAAATCATTTGGTTAGTTTTGATTAGATGACATGGCATTCAATAAGAGAACACTGAGGGAGCAACACTTATTTACTAATATTACTCTCTAAAGGGGGGGAAATCAACATTTATGAAATACCTGAGGCTGAATCCAGTTGAGATTCACCAAAACATAAATATGCAAAAATATGGGATAGAGTTTTTAAAAATGTCCTACTCTTTTTGCTGACAAATACTTAAAATGTATGTATTATTTGTGACTGAAGAAGAATTTAACTCTGCACTCAGCTGTTTGTAAATCAGAGTGACATTCAACACAAACCTGTGATTTTACAGCATATTTCAGTAGCAAAATAATTTAGTTCTGTAAATAACAAAAGAAGAAAACAGATTGAGGGAAATACAAAGCAGCAGGTAAAGAGAAGCGGAACTACAAACTTGAACTATTGATATTTAAAAGGACAGAGTGGCGTAAAGCCATAATATCTGAGTATACATTACATAGATTATTGTATTTCTGAAAATAATTTTAGGTTTTAAAATGTAATAATTCTTGCTTTTCTGTTTTGAAAATAAAACATTTCAATGTGAGCAGTAAGTAGAGAGTTACAAGGTAAAAATAAATAGTTATATAATCTGATTATGATTTCGGAGGTAAATTTGATCTTATAAGCCTAGGTTAGGGTTACCAAGAGAAGCAAGCACAGCTGTTGGTTTGTGTGCTGCTCTGTGCAGCAACTCTTCAATTAAAAATCTACAGTGTCTCATGCAGATGCAGTAAGTGTGAAGAGATAACATATCTGCAAGGTTATGATAAATCTTTTGACCAGTAATTTTGATATATTACAATGTTAAGTTTTTTGCACAATTATCTGCTTTCTCCAGTAGCTATTCACACTTGGAGCCAAACAAGCTCAGTGGAGAGGTTAAGAGTTTCAGTAATTGGAAAACGATCATATAGTTGTGTGAAGTCATTATCGGTACTCTATTAGAAGTTAATGTGATAGGGCACATCCTAAGCATATAAACTCATGGTTGAACATATCCTCCTTACGTACTAAACAAATAAAGAAACAACATGAAACATTTCATCTCATTCCTTGAAAGAAAGAAAGAAAACGTAATGAGGAACTACTGTTATAGAACTATGAACATATGTGACATAGTGATAAGTATGAACAGTATTGCTTTCTATCGGCTTTCCTCTGCAGTAGTTGTCACTATTTTCTTCTTGTGTGGTTATGATTTGTTTGTCTTTATAAGAATAGAGTTTAATTTTTTTTCTATTATTTCAAGAGCATTATGTCATTGCTGCTCTTGAAGGTATTGTGGAGGATTTTCGCAAATTTTTTAAAGACCCACCCTCTCCACTTAAAAAAAAAAATTCATATGCATAACCCTATACCCACTCCCAAGAGGGAATGCCTATTAAATGTGTACAAGAGTGTGCAAGAGATAATTTCTCTCTCTGTTTAAAAGTTGCTGTTTGCATCGCTCATACAACCTTACCTTCCAAAAGATTTGCAGTTTTTCCACTATGTCAGACTCACCATTAATGAAAATGGGGTCGAGCATGTAGGACGCCTTAAGTGAACATATCACCAGAATGATTGACAATTAGTAGGACCACTTAGTTTGATCCAACCGGAAAAAGAACATCCTTCAGTATACCTTTAAATATATTGTGGAACTGGAGCTTTTTAACTTTGGCTACTCTTGAAAAAACTCCAACAAAAAATGTTTTTGCAAACCACTTCAGAAATGCACTGACACATTATTATTCAATTCCTCTTAATTTGTCATGCGATTAGTAGCAGTTTTGTGCCAATTCAGGTGTTATGCTTCCCCTGACAGGTCAGTTTTAGAAACTGAGCGGTAATGGATTAATAATATTCAATTGCCACTTTAGAAATGCAGCTGCTAAACAGCACTAGCCTGGCCAACCAGACCAGCTTAAATCCCATGTAAGTCAGTCTGACAAGGCTTGATTCTTTCTGGTCTAAAACAGGCCGGACCAATCACAGTACTGGATACAGGCCCACAATGCAACAGCACTTTTCTGTAACCATAGCAGTTAAGATTGCCGCTGGAAGCAGCTTGAAGCAATGTTTTGTGGATTTCTTTTTTCATATCCTGATAGAGATCTTTGTATCTTTAAAAATTTAACAACTGGCTGCTGTAAAGCTTTCCTTTTAGAAAGAAGCTATTTTTTTTGTGTCACATCCATAATTGTCTTACTGGTTTTAAACTGTTTCTGCTGACTGTGTTAGTCCCGCCTCTAAAATTGGATTCTACCTGCTCCTTTTTAGACTAATACGCTGTGTATGCAGCCTACATTAGTCCCACTGGCCAGGCTAAAACACCACATACACACACAAAAGTCTCAAATTTTTATTTTTTATAGAATAAACTCTCAACTGCAATCTCTTTAAATGACCTCAAATATAATTAATATACATGTCCATCTAACGCTGCGTATAGCTAACATCAGACCTGTAGCCGCCCTCTTTGTGCCAACGCTTTCACAGCCTTTCTTTGACTGCATTTATAATGCATGGAGGCATTATGCAATGACCATGAATCCACAACAGCTAAAATAGTGTGGCAGCTGTCAAATCACCAGGATGCCAATTACCTCTTTTGGCCATGTGCCATCACTAACAACTTCTGATACACATATGTGGTAAAAAAAAAAAAAAGAACTGCAGAAAAAGTTAAAGAGATTTAAATAAAAAGAAAAACGATAGTGTATTGGTGAGCAAAATGAGCAGATTTTTGTTTATTGAATTTTAATGAGCAATGATAAGACATATGGAAAGAGATGCAGAATGAATAGAAGTGGAAGATCCCGAAAAGAGGGTCAATTTTGGTTTATTAAAGACTACCAATGTCGTTACCATCTGTCACATTTATTTGTCATGCTTTTATAAATGGATAAACAGTGTTTACCAATTAATGGTGGTGCCTAGCTTTATGGATACTTCAGTCTATCCTCAATGAGATATTTCACATCATTCACAATTATGAATCACTTCAATCATTTTCCACATACACATTTTCTCTGCTAATCATTTAGGCTGAAGCATTCAGTCTTCACTGGAGGAATGATAAAAAGTCAGTCAGAATAACTGGCATATAATCATAATCATAACAGTAAATAAAGCCCACAGTTCAGTGTAAAAATAATAATGCAAAATAAAAAAAAACTATAATATAATAAACTATAATACAAATTTAAAAAACTGATAAAATACTGATTGCTAAAAATGTATCGTGGTTGTTAGTCGAACAGAAAAAAGCCTGTGCAAATAAGCCCACATTTTTTTGTTGAAATTTTTCTTTTTGATCTATTGTAATATTCAAATATTTTCATAGATCAGCATCTGTATCATTAATCTCTGTATCTATATAATGTGTTAGCTGTTAAATACTATTTGTCTACTTTGTCAATACTGCTGTAATTTGTCTTTATCTCCTCCATGGATGTCTCCAGCATGTTTAATACTTTAAATAGGGATCTTATTAAAGACCTTAACAAGGCAAACTGACGATGCATCCTGAAAAGCATTATTTATTTATATATATATATATATATTTATATATACGGTATATTATAAAAAAAAAAAAAAAAACTTGTACCAGATGTAGAATACTGATTTTGTATTTTGGTAATTTGGTTTTATTCTTATTTTTTGTTAAATGTTTTTTTTTTTTTTTTTTTTTTTACATCTGTATTATAAGTAAATGCCCAGAGTGTTTTTGGACAAGGTATATATATATATCCATGATATCTAACTGTTTTATCCTCAATGTTTAAGTGGTTGATGTTGATCAACATATTAATTTAATTTGGGGGAGGAACAGTTGTGTACCACAGAACAGGGAAGGATAAGAGCCATGCAGGCTGGGAGTCTGGGTGGACTTGCTTAGACGGGTTTAGAGCCCTTTGAAATTTCATTACAATTCTAACCAGTTACTGTTGTTGGATGATTATAAAATGATTGTGACTATTAGTGGTCGAGACCTACACAAAATTTTGACTCAGAGTTTGATTGAATATTTGAATGAAAGTACTTGTATAAAAAAATATATCACATATTGATGTGAATCAATATTTTTGATAAATTCTCTTTATTGTTTTTTATTAGCTTTATGTTGAAGTTTTGTTTTTCTTCAAATTTAGGGAGAGTGACATTTATTTCTTTGTGAGTAGAAATGGTTACATACCATTTAAGAAATCTGAAGTATTTACTCAAACAGATATTGTTGACATAAGGGCCATAATAGCCTATTTTTAATTTTGATAGCAACAAAAATTAGATAGTTTAGACCTCATATGTTAATAAAACTGTAGACCAAATAATTTCTGTTTGAGTATTAATAGCCTATATGTGTGGCCTACAGTTAAACCTTTTTTTGCTCTTTCCTCTCAGGTGCAGGAGTGGCTATGTCTGAACTGTCAGATGCAGAGAGCTCTGGGGATGGATATGACCACACCACGCTCCAAAAGTCAACAACAGATCCATTCTCCTTCTCATCCAACCCAGCCTGAGCCCAAACCTGATGCTACTAATCATCCTCCACCTCAGTCACAACCCATCCCTCAGAAACAACCTATTGCTCCAGCCCATCCAGCACCTGACCCAACCAAACAGCCTGCTCCAGGTGGCCCCAGTCATCAACAGCCCAAATTGCCACCAGGAGCAGTTCCTCTCCCTGGGATGGCCAAGGCTCCATCCCAGCCGGATCTCTCTCGAGGCTCACCTGCCCACCAGCCCCAACACCCCCGCAAAGATCAGACCCGTAGTGCGGGAAGCTCCCCATCACGGCAGCCCCCACCCCCAGAGCAGACATTTGGAAAGCTCTTTGGCTTTGGTGCCTCCCTTCTAAACCAAGCCAGCACTCTTATATCTGAAACTACTCAACCCCAGCAACAACAGGCCCCAAAACCAGCTCCCAAACCTGGGGGGCCTCCTGGTCCAGGACCAGGAGCTGATAAATCTTCAGCACAGTCCACACAACAAGGGCCACAGGCCCCGCCACAGCAACAGCGGCATGCTCCCCCCGAGGCCTCTAAGCCCAAAGCCTCCTGTCCCCTCTGTAAGACCAACCTTAACATTGGCAACACAACAGAGGAACCAAACTACAACACCTGCACTCAGTGTCACTCCCAGGTGTGCAATATGTGTGGATTCAATCCCACTCCACACTTACTTGAGGTAAGGCTTTGAGTTTTTATTATTATTTTTTTTCAACTAGTTCAAGCTCGAATTTAGGCTTTTTTTTTAATTTTTATTGGAACCAGTAGTGAGAGCTGTTACCTGACTGCTCTTATCTTCAGCTAAAGCTTTTCTGTTTGAATTTGCCTGCTCTACCTTTTCATATTTTCCCAAGGTACACTGTGGCTTTGCCATGGTTTTGTTTCCCCTAAAATTCAAATACTTAAATTGACCTCAGTTGCCCATCAGTTGTTTTTTATATCACCGAAGGATACAAAACAACCAATTGGTGCAACAGTCCTACACTTCAAATCCTGTCGAATGGGTCAGGAAATAAATTTTTTTTTAAAGATCATTGAGATTCTCATCTTTCCGTAACTCCACAACTTTGCATACACAACTTTATCTCAAGTGGTTAACATTTTATATTTAGATTATAATTGAGTTTGATATTTCAATTAAAAAAAGCTCATTCTTTGCTCTATTCGTCCCAAATGGATATATTTCAAGTTGTTTTAAGATGATAAAATGCATTGTTAAGTTTATTTTTATGACGGAAATGTTGTTCAAGCACTCGATACCGGGTCAGGGCTCTTTTCCACAGATTACTACATCAATGTGGTATGACATGGACACGATTAGCCTGTAGCACAACTCAGTTATTAAGGTCAGCAGTGGGCCATAACATAATCCCGCAAAAATAGATAAAATACTACTATTTAATCAGAAATTATACATAATAATAGTGATATGACTTTTTTGCAGAGTTTAATTATTATTTAAGCTATGAGCACAATGCTAAATATGTTGATTAGTCACTAAAGGTTTTTATAAACCATATTCCTCCTTCTTAGTCAGCACCTGCTTCGTTGTGCTCTGTCAGTCTTTAATCTAGGTAACAGAGCAAAGTCCAGGCTGTGATTCACCTCAGCAGTTAGTTTAGCCTGAGGCAGCATAAAATCATATGAGTAGTCTACAGGAAACACAGCCTTATTAAGGTCAATTGAATGGATTATCTCTGTATTTGTTAGACGTCCAGGGGTCATCTGAGGCCATATTTCTTTTGTAAGGGCTGTCTTGTTCTGCATCATGGAGAGAGACTGGTTGGTAAGAATAGTGACTTGCAATAACTTCTAGAGCAAGGCAATAACAGAGTTTAATTATGCAAATCAAGTCCAACTGAATGATAGCAGTAATAACAGGGTTGCTGCAGAGCACTGGCTTTTTATGGGAATGTCTTGTCTTTCCAGGCATCTGGTTGTCACAGTCCCTGGCAGAGGCCATTCATAGATCACTATGGAAACAGAAAGATAATTTTTCTGTCAGCCATCCCTTTTCATGCTTGGCCGGTGTGATGCAGAATCTCTCCAAAAACTATCAGACCGCTGTTGTTCTGTATTCAAGACAGATGCATTTGTTAAGTGTTTTTTTGTTTCTCCTCCTCAAGGAATGGTTGGCAATATAAAGCACATTTTCTTTTGTTCTTTTTTCCCCCTTTTTGGCTTCAGGTGGATTCCTTAAAAGTGTGCAATAAATTCTTAACATTTACAGGCCTTTTATTTGTATGTTTACTGATGCTATAATATTTCAACATTAGTCATTTTCCTCATCCTCAATCATTTGCACACCAAAGTTAGCTGTTTTCGTTTCCTTCACTTTGTATTTTTTGGCAGTATTTGGTGACTTAACTCTAGTAGACGATCTTGAATTCTCTGCTGTTTCTGATGCTTTTGCTTTTAAGGCATGTTTGTAGCATTGAGGCACAGGATAGCTTCAAAGACTAATAGCATAACCTTGAGCAAAAATACCACAGCTTAGAAGTAATACAGCGTGGCATTGAATAACAACATAAAAATAATTACCAAACTGCCTTTTCTTAAGACCAGAACTGCAAATACTGCTACTTTTTCTGCTAAATTCTAGAGACTACAAAAATGTTCTAGCTCTGCTGAATTAAACTGTTTATTTGCAATATTCATTTTAGCAATATGAATATGAAAGAAGCACTGCTGCAATTCAGTATTTGGTAGGCTAATAAACACTCTTTGGCCAGTATGTAAGATACATCTGTTTTATTTATTGTTAATACAAATCCAAAAGCTAATCACAAGGCAGAAAGTCAGGCATGCCATCAAAATGGGGAAGACATTGCATTTAAATTAATCAGAACATAGCAAGTATGTTTTGGCTGCTTTGAATATCTCAGAAACTGCTGACCTCCCTGGACTTCGGTGCACCATCATCTGTCGGCTTTACAAAGAATAGTGTGCAGTAAAATACCTAATGCGCTGCAGTTATGTGTATCAAAAAGCTCTGTTCATGTTCTAAATCAGAGGAGAGTGGGTAATTTAGTTTTAGAAGACAAAAGGCAATGGTAGCTCAAATAAACACCTGTTACAATCAAGGTTCAGTTCAGTTCAGTAGATTCTATTTGTCCCAGTATGGGCAATTTTTGTGCAGTAGTAGTAGTACACCTTTCACACACACATTCACATTTCACAAGTAAAAAGGTAAGAGGAATACCATCTCTGCACAATAAATCTTGAAACAGATGGGCTTTACAAGACAAGCATTACAAGGCAGCATGGGAGCATCTCCTGTCAGCTTGGAACAGGAAGCTGAATCTACAATTTCCACATACTCACCATAATTGGCCATAAATATTAGTCTCCTTATAAAGTCTCAGTTTCAGCTGTATTATTCAGATGCCATGGTAAGAACTTGGCATAAAAAACATAAATTATGGATTTACCATCACCTTATATGAACATTTAAAGCTGCGGCTGATGTTGGAGTATGAAAGAGATTTTCAATGTAAACCATTTATTTGTAACTGTAATTATTACAGCACTACAGACAACCTGTTAGTTTCCTCACCATGTCCACTTTGAATGCCCAACCTGGTAAAATGGCTGATGAGTGCATTTTAACTGCCCTACTTTCATAGTTATGTGTTTGGCTAGTCCAGTAGACTCTCACCATCCAGCTAAGATATGATTCAGATCATTGTGTTTAAGATGATAAAACCTACAAAGAGACACAGGAAAGTCATAATGACAGTAAATAAATAGTGAATTGTTTACAACTCATACTTAAGATTTAATCGTGACACTTGCTGTATCCACATTTCCCTCAAACCATTTAACCCTATATATTTCTATAATACTGTATTATTTGGGCATTCAAAGATTAGTTTAGTCATTTTGTTTAATAAATTACAATATTGTTCTAAGTAATGACATTAAAATGCATATCAGTGTGAGCTGAAATAAATGAGCCAGTTTATCTGTCCTATTTTATTTGTTACCTGCTAACTCTAGTAACCTGTTTTGTATAAAAGCTTTTCATAGAGTGATGGGTAATGTTCCTTTGGTGTCTGAGGCCAGACTATCTTTGTTTTTTAATGAAATGCTTTTTATTAATTTAATGTTGTCAGATGTTATCTAAAATTGCTTAAAGCAAGACTTATAGTTACTTTTAAGTGTCAAGAAGAAAAATAAATCATGCAAAAAATACAGATGCTATTTCATGTATTCAGTCAGTTACACCTGAAAAATGTAAAAAAAATATACCACCAGCTACATTGATGCTGATGACTGCAAGTTGCTGATATTTTTGTCTTCAGCACATGTTATATCAATCACGGCATCAATGTCTGCACCTTGTCTCTCATCTGCTTCACTGGGCACTGGATTGATCCGGATTTCACTCCAACACAAGTCGTTATACAAGCAAAGATGTTTGCCCTCTGCACTTGAAAACCAGCCGAGCTCCATCAGTTATTTTGTTTTTTTGTTTAGATTCAAGCATCCTACTGAATATGAGGAAAAAAGTTGCAAACATCCAAAAAAGAGTTGTAAATCATGGCTCTTATTTCACAAGAATATGATCAAATAGTCTATGTGTTTAAGTCATTCAGTCTTAAACCTTAATTATAGATTTCGGGTTTTTAATTTTTATCAAACTGAAGACCTCAGTAAATACAAATGTTTATTTTTTTCTAGCAAAGGGGAAAAGATGACTCCTAGGAAGGATATATAATTTTAATAAAGACTCTCATTTTATTCAATGTATTCCCAAGAACTCAGAAATGGCTTTGTAACAACTTACATACTGTAACAAGTCACTACCTTGGTTTCTTTTTACAGAACTATATGTTTTTTAAAGATCTTTAGCTTACCTTATGTTTTTAGAATGTTCCATTTAAATTATTTCTTTATTATACAGGTCTGGCAGGAGCCATTGTGCAGTTTTACCTCATTTGAATGAGGTAAAACTGTACAATGATCTTACTGATAAAGAGAAATTTTGAGATAGGCCTGAAGTTCTGGAGTAGCAGTTCTAGTTAGACAGAACTTCGGTACTGAGCCTGATATGGAGTCACAGACGGCCCCTCTAATCTTTTGTGATTTTTCATTAGATTAATATGTTGCAAATGTCTCAAACTTAACAAACCTTTGACAGGATGATTTGTCAACCTTTCATCCATGGCAAATAAGAGACAACTATTTTTAATGTATTTGCTAATGATCTCAGAAATGAAAGTTTCTCTTGCATTTTTTAGCAAGTAAGTTATATGAGTCTTGCTTTATAGATTCAACTTTTTTCCCTTCTGGCTGATGGAGCACTTCTCCACTCAGTCTTTAAAAGTAACAACTTTTGCTTTAATTGGGGCAACATAATCAGTGATGTCTGAGATTGTATATTGAAAGTTATCTACCAGCTCATCAACAGAGTTAAGAGGACAAAGATGAGCTAAATGTGTAAATCTGGTTAAAGGTTTCAGTAGCAACATCCTTCAGGATGCATTTTCGTGTTTCATTGGAAATTATGCTTTCAAAAGTAGCAGAAGTTTGGTGAAATCAGTTCCAGACACTTTGGAAATGTTTAGACCCTTAGTAATGATCAAGTCTAAAGTGTTTAAATAGTGAATCTCCTACAATTATTCAGTAGTCGCAATTAACACATATCACTGAGAAATTGTTTAAAAAAAGTCTGTT